TAATGGAATCCCAATAATAAGATTAGATGACTATAACTTAGCAACTGACGACAGTGAGGAATAAAGGATGAACGTTTATTTTTAAAGCTTATAAATGAGTTCTTCATCAAGCTCTCGTGAACCTTCACCATCTATGAAACAAACTTTACCAAACGATTATGGAGCACCTATTGAATATTTCTTACGAGCTGCACAATGGCAAAGAGCAGTCTCACCAAGGTTAGGTGTTCCACCAGCTCCTGTCAAAAATAGCATTTGGTCAAGTCCTTATATAAAATATGGTCTCCCACTAGGTTTGCTAGCTACAGCAGGAGCAGTAATGATGTTGAAAAGAAATAAAGCAAATGTTGTAAATAATACTGAAGTAGCTGAAGTTAAACAAACTCCGACACCTTCACAAGCAAAACCTTCAATGACTCCTGAACCTATGGAAGTACAAACTCCTGTTCAAAAGTCAACTCCTAAACCGACTCCAACATTTAAACCAGAACCTACTCCTCAAATAAATCGTAAAACTCCTGCGTTTCCTTACTGAAAAAATAACGTTATTTTTATTTAATATTAAAATTTTTATTTGATTGAAATGACGACTAAAGTCACTGAAGCAATGAAACAAAAGTTTTTGGTAGAATACATTAAATCAGGAACTATTCCAGAAGGTTTTTACATTCATACTATGAAGGATGGTAGAGTTCAGTTTAGAAAGATAAAGCAACCATTAGATAGAGAAGGTATATTAAGGAAGATTAAACTTCATGAGGACAACATTGCTGAACTTAAGAAGAAGTTAGAAGAGTTGGAGAAAGGAAGAGAGTTATAAAGCAATGAATTCAACATGGTTAGAAAAGAGGTTAGAAAACGTGTTAGATCTAACATTCTAACATAAACATTATTTTTGTGCTATGTTTTCATACGTGTGAGGGTGGTGATATCATTATTTTTTATATAAATGACAGAACAAAAATATAACATTTCTACTCAGCAGGAATGAGACCCTTACTGACTATGTATTCGTTTAATGCTTGATGAAAACAATGGTACATATTATCGTATGGGTATACACAACGTCTGTTTCCATCGTCGTCGTATATGTAGAGCTCAAATCCAGTCCAACCTTCTTTTGTACAATATGTAGCTTTATTTAAGTATGCATTTATGTAGATAAGGCAATTTTCTTCATCGCTCCAGAAATAATTTTTCGTCATTGTTGAAATAGTTTTCGTTCCTCTGCGACCATAAGGAATGTATGCAATGAACTTTGCGTCATATGGGATTGTAATATATTCAGGGTTTCTTTCATCGTCAATGGGTCTGTCTTTGTTAAAATGCATGTTTCTCAGTTTTACTTGAGTTTTGAATAGTTCACGGAAACGTTCTGGGAAAGAGTCATAGTAAATGTAGTCGGACATGTCTTTGTAATGAAATAAAAAATTTAAAAAAATAAAAATAAGGTTATTTTTATTTAGTGAGGACGGTAGTGAAGTCGTTAGTGAAGTCGTTAGTGAAGTCGTTTATGTATCAGATGGTTTTGTAAATATTTAAGGTTAAGTTGGTGTTTGTGTTTGTGTTGTAAAATATACGTTATCGGTTTTGTAAAGTGTCAAATTCACAAGTATTGGGTAAGGTGGAACGCAGTGCCTCAGTACACGACTAAGCCATACTAACTCACGCCAAATCAAATGTATCAGCTGAAACCGAAATACACAAATGCAGATACAGAAAGGTTGTGGCAAATATGGGATACAGATACAGGCATGACCGCTGTTGACACATTCACAGCGTAATAATAAACATAATTTTTTAATTTCATTTTTAACAAGTTTTTTTAAATGTATGTAATGAATAATTCATTAGAATATGATAATGCACATTGTAACAGAATAGAACAATCACCAAATTTTTTTTGAAATTAAAAAATAAAAGTAAAAAGTATAAAGTAATCTAACCAAAAAAGATATTTAAAAGAATTTTGGAAAAAACAGAATAAGGATAATGATATTATTTTAGATACACAATCGATGTACTGAAGAATAATCCGGTAAAATGATGATATAAAATTAGATTATTTTACAAGTAGCTAAAAGAATAAAACTATAATATAAAATAAATGAAGTTTAATGAAACAATAAAGGTTAAATAAATAATAAAGATTTTTATTTTATATCAGTATTGAGAAGAAGTAACAGCTGACACTTGGTAGACAACTTCTTTATGTCTAGAAAATTCTATCTTGCCTTTTATTTTTTTCTCGCTGTGAAACGTATTCGGTCATTTTTTTAAAAATTAATTTTTTGTTAGAGATAAGAGCTAAAACTCGGTAAACAACTTCTTTATGTCTAGAAAATTCTATCTTGCCTTTTATTTTTTTCTCGCTGTGAAACGTATTCGGTCATTTTTTTAAAAATTAATTTTTTGTTAGAGATAAGAGCTAAAACTCGGTAAACAACTTCTTTATGTCTAGAAAATTCTATCTTGCCTTTTATTTTTTTCTCGCTGTGAAACGTATTCGGTCATTTTTTTAAAAATTAATTTTTTGTTAGAGATAAGAGCTAAAACTTTGCAGACAACTCCCCCATGTCTAGCAAATTTAACATTCGTCTCCCATTTTTATATATTTGGTTTAGAATGTTCGAAAATGCGTAATATGGTCATTAATATTAATTGAAAAGAACCTTGAATTAATTCAATCTGATCTCACAAAATATTTTAAATTACGAACTTTGTAGTTTGAATAGATAATTAGTATTAAACTCAAATAGCTAGTTTATTTTTGAATAAAAATTATTTGAATTTATTCAATTTTGTGAATTTTCCTTCAAAAATCAAGTTTAAATATCTTATTTGCCATATAATTATAAATACAATGAAACATATTCGAAATTGAAAAGAATGACTTTTTCTGTTCTTTCAATCATTCAATTTGAATTTTGCAATATTGGATTTCTCATTAAATATCTATTAAAAACAACAAGCAATTTAACTTACATTCAAATTTATTTGTGTTATATTCAATCTTCTCAAAACTTATAATTTTCGGCTATAGCATGATTATATGCTATATAATATAATAAACCTATAATAGTATCATTCTTTCAATTATTTGAAGAGAAAACCGAAAAAATCTATTTTCGGTCTATAACAATTGGTGGGTGAATAAAATTCCAATGACAAACATCCTTTTACGAACCTCATTTCCTTATCAATATAATATGTAGAAATAGCAACTCGCAAAATATTTTCGGAACTTCAAAAAATTCAATTCTCAAAAAAAATTACTTGCAAATGGCTGAACTGAGAATTTAATTAGTGACCAACAAAGATTGATAAATTGAAATGCTATAAAAAAGATCTGAAATCTGATTTCAGTGATATAATGAATTTGAAATAAATAAAAGCAAAAATTTTTGCGATGTAAAAAAATTGAAAATTGAGAGTTAGTTTATTTGTGAGAATAACGATTACAACTTTCAATAGTTTACGAAAAACAGTTTGTATGAAATTCAATAAACAATTCAAAATTTTGTTCCTTCAATTTCATAAAGTTCTGAAATTTAGGAGGTCAAAAATTGAATGTTGAAGGGTTTCAATCTTTGATATATTCAAATATACCACTTAAAAGAACTAACTCGTTAACAGTTTAAAACATTTCTTAGCAAATAATTCTGAAAATATGAAAACTTTTATCTCCAGAAGATATTTTTGGATTGTACTTTGTAGTTTCTGAAGAATATTAATGATGAAGTTTTCAAAACTTGCAAAAAAAAGTTTTCATATTTATGTTTGTTTAATGAGCGCTCTTATGTTTGTTTATTACAAATCGATGATCTTACAGCAATAAACTGACATTGAAAGGTCTAGTATTTGCATCCATTACCTTTAAAAACATTTTAATTTAACTAAAAATTAAAATTAAAATAAAATTAATAAAAAGAAAAAATGAGACAAAAATTTTTGAAATTGTATGTCAATAACAAGATATTTGCGTTTTTATGTTCGATGAATTAATTTAGTTTTAATTGTAAATAAATGAAATATCCAAGCAATTGATATCGACCAGTATGTCTACAGTAATCAATATTAAAGCAATATTGATAAATTGATTTCTTATCAGATATGAAATTGAAACTAGTTAATGAAATAAGATTTATTAATTAATTGCTAAACTGACAACAAGAGTCATTTTTAATGTGACCTACTAATTTTAAAAGGAATGAAGAATTTTCAAAAAAAAATTTTATGAGATAAAATTGTGAATTTCAGAATTTTATTTTCATTGTAGACATAATGCATGCCAAAATCATTAATCTTTGATATCCAAAAACAAATTTTTATATTGCGAACAATTGGAAATAAGATTACTAAATTTAACATTGGTATTATTAAAACAGTTAAAAATATCTTGAATGAAAATTAAGATTTGTGGAGTTAAAATTTTTGAATGATTATTCGAATAATTGATAGGAAATTGATTTGATATTAATTTTATGTTTTTTGTATTGCATTATGATTATTATAATAGAATGAAAAGATAGAAAGTTTCGTAAACTTTTCAAACTTTTATTCTTTAAATTCAATATAAATCAATTTATCAGATATAATTGTATTATAATAGGTAAGATAATTTATTTGTTAGTTAAAATTGCTAAAATTTGAAAAGTATACAAACGTCTCAAAATTTGTGATGTTTTATTGATAATCAAATGTAATTTTTGTTTAGCTCATTTAATTCATCAAGGTATATAACTTTGATGAAATTCTATGAAATCCTTAACTGATATTTATTTTACGCTCTCCGCATAAGGTTTTTTCTTTATATTATGCTCGTCATAATTAACACATTAAACTTTTTTACCTTCCCAAATTCAATAATCAATTCAAAAATTTACGCTTATCTCAATGATTAGCCATTCGAAAACTATTGCCGCTTATAGATATTTTCCACTTTTATGTTTTCTGATTTTGAGAAGAAATTCTTGAAAAGAATTTTTCATATTCTAAATATGGATTCAGAAACTGATGACGAATTTGATATCAAGGCATATTCGCGCCGCCGCAATATAACTTCTGTTTCTTCCATCCTAAAGGATGTTATTCAAAAATGCGAAAAAACCAAACCTCAGAAGATCAATGTGATTGCTTTAGCAAATCAACATCAAGGTAACCATCGAAGACTCTATGAGCTTTTTAACATATTAACATACTTTGGTGTTACTAAAACAGTTGGTCGCGGTAAGCTTTGTTGGGTTGGATTCTCTTCCATGCATTCTCATCTGGAAAAAACTTATATGACTATCGAGGAAAGAGGACTCACTGAGTCTATTAATGATATATTTGTATTTAAAGAAGTTCCATCACTTGGCCAAGTTGCAGAACTTTTCTTATCATTGTTTCCTTTTTTAGGAGTCACTACTTTAGATATCAAAATTGTCACTCAGATATTCAGTATGAAAATACCTGACAAAAAGAGTTGCGAAAGGAAGATATATTTAGCACTCTCATTATTGGAGACAATTGGATGTATTGAACACCATCCAAGGAGCGGTAATTACAAAATTTTACTTGATATTAAGAAGCTCTTAGAAAAAAGTCAAAAACATATTTTTTCATTAGAATCTAAAAACCCGTATAGTATTGCAAATCTGCTCAATCGTTCATATGCAACATATATGTCAGCTCAACATTATGAGCGGCAGCGAGACTTTCAATTGCTAGCAAATAGCTACAACGCTATTAGTTGAATTGAAGAAGACAGATGTGTAAGTATATAATAACGGGTTTTTATGTTAAACAAATTGTTTTGATTAAACATGTTTTTATTAATTGCTTATTATCGAAACGACAAAATAAATTTTTAATGAAGTTGCTCTTTCGATGGAAGGTTAATAAAAACTATGTTTCCACACAACGAATTTGATAAAAATTTCGAATTCAACAAAATTTCACAGTTGGAATGAATTGGCAGTGATATTATTATAAATTGCATTGAATGATGCAAAAATACGATACACTAAAATTTATAATAAATGAATATAGTTTCAATGCAATATCTTTTGAAAATAATCGAAAACGAAATTCGTGCAAGCTATTGAATCTCACAATTAAAATAACTATTTATTCATTGAACCCAATATTTTGTTTGTAATCTGACAACGTTCTCTTTTACGAAATAAAGAATATGAAAAAATTATCACTTAATTTTAGAAAATACATGAAAACATATTTATTCTTGTGTTTGGGAAGCATCCTTGCCCTTCTTTGGATTGCCAAGGAGGACCTTGTGGATGTGTGGAACAACACCTGCAGAGGCGATTGTAATGTTAGAGAGTAATTGGTTCAATTCTTCATCGTTACGAACGGCAAGCATGATGTGGCGTGGGGAAATACGTGTCTTCTTGTTATCACGAGCAGCGTTACCAGCAAGTTCGAGAACTTCGACTGTAAGATACTCAAGAACAGCAGCCATGAAGACTGGAGCACCTGCACCGACACGCTCACCATAACGGCCTTCACGGAGGAATCTATGAAGACGGCCGACAGGGAACTGAAGACCGGCACGAGATGAACGTGTCTTTGGATGTTGGCGTTCACCATCAACGGCGGTCTTTGTAGCTGTTTTCTTAACACCCTTCTTAGCTGGCATTAATAAATAATGATTTAATACCCATCCCGCCAAAAATTATCTTTATTTATGTGGGTCTAAAATGGCAATTTTCCAAAAAATGAAAAATGACTTTTTACACCCCCTATTTTTAACATAACTGCTTGAAGAATATTGGCGCCAAAAAAAGTGATCATTATTTAGAATGTCTTCCAAGAAGCCAGCCTCTAAAACACCAACAGAAAAGAAGCCAGCCGTCGAGGGTGTTGATGCCGCCAACGCTGCTAAGCAAGATAAGAAACTCCGCCACAAGAAGCGTGCCGAAACATTCTCCTCCTACATTTTCAAGGTTCTTAAGCAGGTCCACCCAGATATTGGTATCTCCAACAAGGCTATGATGGTCATGAACTCCTTCGTTACAGATATTTTCGAGCGTATTGCTCAGGAAGGCGCTCGCCTTGTCGACATGAACGAACGTAACACACTTGGTTCCCGCGAAGTTCAAACAGCTGTTCGTCTTGTCCTTCCAGGCGATCTTGCTAAGCATGCTGTTTCTGAAGGTGGCAAGGCTGTCGCCAAGTTCAACGCCGAATAAACAATGTTATTTATATACTTAATTAATTCTACTTTTATCATTCATTTCAGCAATATCCATCAATTGAAATTAGAATATTTGTTTATCTTAACAATTTCTAAAAGATATGAGCCTTTATATGGATTTTTAGTTACATTTAGTAATATTGCGCAGAAATTGTATGTTTAGATAATAAAATTAAAAAGAAAAATATTAATATTTTATGGTTTTGCAATAATTATGGAATAAAAACATTTTAAATTCGATAGGTAATCTAAGAGCAATACTTAGATTTTCCAAATTTTTTTTGAAAATCAGAAAACAAATGATAAATTTGTTAAAAAAAATCTCAAAATTTTGATTTTCTACTTTTTTTGGAATTATTTCCAAAAAATATATCCTGTTAATCACGGCATAAAGATTTTATTATTCATTTATGTTTGATTTAATGCAGAAATTTTACGATATCTTTTATTTTTACTGATTTTAGATTTTATATTCCATTATTTTGTATACAAAACTGTATTTGAACACTCAACATATTTAGTAAAACCGATATCTAAACATAAACATACATTTACAAACAAAGATAAACAAAAAATAAATATATAAAATTAATGATTTTTCACACGTCCAACAGATTTCGTTGGAGAGTCTTCATTGACGAAACTTATCATTGGTACTGGCCTTGGCATCTGTAATAAAGCCGTTCGAATAGACTGAGCGGCCATAATTTCCGCATCATTAATATCATTGAAATCAGCCAGAAGTCCAGAGTTGACAGCATCCATATTCTGAGCAATTCTTGTGGCTGCGTCTTGAAATTCTGACATTTCATTGTTGTCCAAGAAATTGAGGATTTTATCAATTTCTTGATCGATGTTTCTGTATATTTCTGACTTATTTTGAGTAGAGTCCTCATCGTTCATATTTTCGAGTGCGGCTTGAATCTGTTCTGCTGTTCTAAGCGAGTTTTCGATTTCTAATTTTTGTCTTGCAGCTGTATTTTCCAAATCCGAACGTTTTAGTTTAATAGAGCGTTGTCTCCTTGTAATTTCCTGACGCTTCGATATAATCTTATCTTTTTCTTGATTAATCCGACTTAAAGCTAAATTTAACTTATCTAAAATAGCTTTCGTATTATCTGTATATGCTTTGCAGTACTCGTTTAATGAGCGACTGTAATCTGTAAGTAAATCCTTTTTAGATTCAAATTTCGTTTGTTGTTGCATTTCGCTATCAGATAACAGCATTTTAATATGCTTTGCGCCATCATCAAGCGTAATACCGATTCTGTTAGAAATTGATGTTACATCAATTGGGTAGATTTCGATAGTTTTCAGAAAATCGTTAGTTTCATTAATTATATCATTTTTGAACTGATCGAGCTCTTGAGTAGAGTTGTAATAATCGTTTCTGAATGATTTGCTTAGCTCTCGTGTGAATGATTGCTTGAAATTAGTTAAAGATCTGTTGATCGTATCTATTAGCTTTTTCTCAGTACGACTTAAACGTTTAGCTGCCTCAACTTGCGGATTTATAGGAGTACTCTCAGGAGGAGCACTTGGGGTAAAGTTGTAGCTATCAGATGAATAGGTATTTGTGAAATGAGCTACATCAATTGGGGGAGGGACCTCTTTTGGCTGTGGATTTCCTTCAGTCTGTATCTTGGGAAATACAATATCTCCTTTTGGCTGCGGTGGAGGCGTTTGTACCGGTTGAGTTTGCGTGAACAATTGGTCGTTATTATTCGAACTCGGGAGTAATCTTGCAGATTGGGGTCGGATATTAAGTGGATTAGGCTCATCATCGTTTTTGGAAAAAAGAGATCCAGTCAGAAATCTTGCTGACTGCGGCCGAACGTTTTCTTGGTTTTGTATGGTTATTTTAACGCCATTTATCTCTTCACTATGTTGGTTTTCAGGTGGAGGAGGTTGGTTATTCATTGGTGGTGGAGATGAAGAATTTAGATTATCTTGTTCTGGATTTGGCTGAAGATTCTGCCTTGGAATCGGAGGTGGTCTCCCTTCTAATCTTCGTGGCATTGAATCTGTCCTTGATAAATTTTCTCTGGAATTTAATGAATTCATGTCTGAATCTCGATTTAAATTAGCAAGAAATCTCGATCCACCAAGCGCAGTTCCTGGTCGCATCTGTAAGTTGCTTGACATTGAGTTTGCTCGCGGCAATGTCCCTGGTTCAGTTCGATTAAAATTTCGAGTTGGAGAATCAGGGGCATTATTTTCTCGGTTTTGAGCAGCTTTCAGGTCACTAATAGATCCTGTACGACTATGCAAAATAGTATTATCTAATATTGAATTGCGCCTGAAAATACTCATCCGATGTAAAAAAAATTGTCAATTTTAGTGAGCAAAGCCTTTAACGTCTTTTCCGAGTGATGCATATTCTAGTAGATTTAGAATAATTACATAATGGTCACATTTTTGTGCAGACTAAATTCTTTTTATTTTATCGATTTGAAATTTCAAGAATGAAAAAACCACCGAAATAGTTCATTGAAGTTACCAATACAAAATATGCTAGGATCACATAATTACTTGACTTAATAACTGAAAGAAATCTATCCATTTTTTTGCCCAATTTTGTTATTGAGGATTTGACAACCAAAAATCATTAACTTTAGAGGTAATCAAGGTAAACAGGTTATTCCACTCTCTCAAGAGTTTTCAAAAAATTTCGTTGAATATTTTTAAACGGCCCCCAGAAGAGATTTTAGTTGAAATGGAGCGGAATCATAGACATTCGAAGCAACCATACAGCTACAAATCAGAATCTAAACCAGACAATGATGATTATCCTGTTAGATCGCATAATCATAGATCAAAATCAACTGCTGTAAAAGATAATAATTTACTTCCAGCCTCAGGTCGAAAATCATCAGTTGATTCCTCAAATCCAAACTTATCTACATCAGCTGCCGACTTTATGGCAATTTGTGAAACGTTAACAAAACGGAAAATTACTAATTTAAACGACTCAATTAATGTACTTAATGATTTAGTTGCTTCTAACAAAAAATCCCAGTTACAAGTCAAGTTACTTCAAAGCTCGAAGAAAGATTTAATTACAAAATTAAATTCTGCTACACAAGAAGTTCAAAATCTCAAAAATATGATTAAAGATCAAAAATTCGATGCTCCTAGAACTACACTTCAAATTGAAATACAAAATCTCAAAAAGAAATTGACTGAGAAAGATGCAACAATTTCTCAACTTACAGAAGAGTTAAACCATCATAAAAGTGTTAATGCTACTTTGCTTTCAGAGCAAGCATTACAAAATTCGAAATCAATTAATATAAACGATAAGCTTAAGAAAACACAGGATAACGAACAGTCACTGATTCATGAAAATACCAAATTTGTCAAACAAATTGCGAAACTACGTCAACAGCTTGAAAAATATCAAAAGATTAATATTGACGATTTTCACAACTTAAAATCGGACTATTCAAAACTGAAGAAGCTCCATAACCAATTACATGATGATTATGATCAATTATCAGCCGAGAACGCACAACTTCAAAATCGAATTCTTGAATTAGAGAAAGAAAATCAAGAAATTCATGAAAAGATTCTTGCACCACTTGAAACTCACGATTCTATTGCTACTTCAGACAAACCAACAGAGATAGAAAAGCTTCAAAAACAAAATTCCAGCTTGCTACAGAATATTAATCTATCTGAAGATGTCATTGCCAGCCAAAGAGATGAAATTATTAAAGCATATGAGTCTCGCAACACTATGTCCAAGTTTGTTCAGAGATTATTCAAAGTTTTACAAACAACCGAAAATCTTGCTAAAGAATACAAAGATAAATATGATACTTTAATGTACAAGGTTGAAGAAGAAAAGCAAAACTTTGAAGTACAACGTGAAAAGCTTCTTTTCGACTTCACAAGTACCTTTGAACAAATCATTGAAATTGTTCCAATGGATATCACAGAGCCAATCACAAATGACACTTCAAAGACAGAATACGAGCAACTCAAAGCAATTGTACAAGCCTTGATCAATACAAATGGAGCTCGTACCTCCTCAGGAAATGTCGAAAATACACCTGATTTGCCAGAAGAATATGAAAAACTCAAGAAGAGATATATGAATCTTTATTGTTTCCTTGACAATACACTTTTGTTCATCAGAAAGATTGCCAATACAAATGATGTTGATGAAAGATTGTTTATACAACAACATATCGCAAGAATTGCAATCTTTATTGATCAAAACAAACCGGATCATGTTATTTATTATCCTTCACCATATGAATCAACAGATCTCAATGAAGCTCTTCAGATTGTTCATGATTTCATTGATGATGATCTCTCTAAACAATCTCCATTCCTTGAAGTTGTTGCTATTCTTTCTGCAATGTGCACAGCCAACGCAATGCTCATGGAGAATGCAGAGATAAATAAGAGAAGAGTTATTGAATTGAAAGATAATGCGACTGTTAATGAGAATCTCAGAGCAATGGCTAATGAAGCCAAGAAACTCGTTGAAAGAGAAGAAACTCTTAAGATGATATTCTCACAAATGTTAGGTGATGAAGATGTTGATCCAGTTGAGTGGATCAAAGAAAACATTCATGATATGTTTGTAGAAAACAAATATGCTAAAGATAAATTGGCAGAAATGAAGGGTAAAATTGATACACTTCGTACAGCAGCACAACAAGAGATCAAGAAACTTGAAGCAGAACGTGACATGTTCTGTGAAAAGGCTAGCAAATTATCAGAGACAATTCAACAGGAAATTCTTGCAGCTAAAGTTGAATTCGCTCAAAAATTGCAAGATCATCAGAAGCTTGTTGAAGAAACTGCAAACTCCAATAAAGAACAACTAGAAGAAGCATTAAAGACAAGTACAGAAGAACACGAAAAAGAAATGCAAGATTACAAGCAAAGAAATGGAGAATTACAATCAGCAGTTGATGAATTGCTTAACAGAGTTGCCAAACTTACAATGGACGTACAAGAACGCGAAGAATTAATCGCAGAGTTACATACAGAACATCAAGACTATGCATTAGAGAAAGAAACACAAGTTAATGAGCTCATGAAAGTTTCCAAGGCATTGATGAAGAAACACAAAGATGCGAAGAGAAAGATTGTTGATGTTAATCAAACAATGTCAAAGATGATCAAAGAGATTCAAGATAGGAACGATCAAACAATTGAATCTTATAAGAAAGATATCTTTGCTCTTACAGAACGCCTGAAGAATTCTCAAGATGATTCTCAAAAGTCTTCAGATAAAGTTCATCAGCTTGAAGAAAAAATAAACGGATTGCAAGAACAAATTGCTAAGCTTACTTTAAGCGAAAGGAACTTGAAACATAAATACAATACTTTATCAGACCAAGTAGTTAGGGAGCGTGAAAGCTTAGATGCTTCTAAAGCTGCTCTCAGTGCTGCTTTTGAGTCAAATCATAAGGCTATTGTAAGCGAAAAAGAAAAAGAGATTCAAATGGCTAAAGAATTCATTGCAAAAGTTGCAAGAGAAATCGATACAGGAATTAAGACAGAGGATTTGATTGCAAAAGCAACAAAGAACTTAGAGAATCGTGAAGAATCCCCTGTAATCAAAGCCGGTATTGAAGCTCTTCAACTAAAGAGAGAATTCCAAATCCCGAATGATAAACCTCTTTCAGATACAATGCGCAATCTTGTTGATGCAAAGGATATTGCAAATCGCGAATTAGAAACATACACAGATAAGTTAAAGAAGACAGAATTAGAACTCTCTAAGGTTAAGAGAGAATTGGCCAAATCTTGTGCTGCTATTGCCGATAACAAGGAGTGGATGAATTGGGCAAGAACAATGTACATGAATGTAACATGTGGAGGTGCTCCAATGTACAATGCACAAGACTTAAGATATCTTCTTCAGGAGTCTCTGTTGACAGAAATTGGATTTGGAAGTTTGACAAAGAAGGTTGATATTCTGAGAACAGAAAAAGCTTGCTTATTATCTCCGTTATACAAGGTTGCAACTAATTATAATAAGAATCATAGCATAAGAACAGCCTTGCTCATAGTTTTGTTTGCAAACAGAGTACAATCTAGCTCAAACATGATGCCAACAAGATTTGCTAGAATTCAAACTGAAGAAGGCAAAGATTGAAAATTTAATTTGTTATGTTATTGTGTTGATTAAAAATAATGTTAAGATTATTTGTTATTTCAAAGTTATTGATTTTATTCAAGTTATATCATGCCGAATATTGAATGATTTTGAGTTAAAAATTGAAAAATATAATATGATAATGCAGAATCATATGTGATAAGTCTTAATTTCTACTATATTGTCTAAGTGATTAGTGGTTGTTCAATTATAAACGTTCTTTTATTGATATAAAAATAATTCAAATTTAAATATGATAGTAGAAACAGTTATTTATGATCTAAATGTTAAAAAGAAGTGTAATATAAACATAAATTTTAAAATACAAGTTATACTCATTAATCACATTACAAATAAAAAGCAATAAAGTCAGATTTTTTTGTAATTACTCTTCGTTCATGTATGTGAAACCTTGAAGCTGTCTTTGTACGTTTTGTCCGATGAGAGAAGGATCTTCGTAAGTAAGTTTTGGTTTTTCTGTTGTAAATTCCCGATCGAAAGCGGAAACATCGGTATTACTAGAGATTTGTGGCTTCCATTGCATTGGGATTTGTTTCTTGAGGAGTTGGTCGAAGTTGATTGAAGCGAAGAATTTATGACCAATAACTTCTTTGTAATCTTCTGGTCCTGAACCGAGACGTGTAGTAGGGTTCTTATCAAGAAGTTTCTGAATGAAATCAATTGCATCTTCAGTGGCATCTTCTGGGAAAACAATGTCATCTCTGAGAATTGAGCGGTACATGGCGTTTGTATTGACATCATAGAACGGAGGAACACCGTAGAGCATCTCGTATGATAGAGTTCCAAGCGCCCACCAATCAACATTATTGTCATATGCATTACCGGCGACCATTTCTGGAGCGAGATACTCAGGTGTGCCACAAAATGTTGTTGTGGTAGCATCCTTTGTCATCTGTTCTTTAACAAGACCGAAATCAGTAAGTTTGATGTATCCATCTTTATCGAAAAGAATATTCTCCGGTTTTAGATCGCGATGGCAGATTCCCATGGAGTGTAAGTAACCAATAGCATGAGCTAATTCGGCAATATAGTATCTAGCTCGCTCTTCGACGAATTTACGTTCTTCTCTGAGACGTGAGAAGAGCTCGCCGCCTTGAACGTAGTCTAATACCAAAAAGATCTTTGTTTCCGTTTGAAATGCGTAGCGGGCTGAAACTAAAAATGGATGGTTGATCTTCAAAAGAACATCTCTTTCGGTGATAATGCGGGAAACCAATTCGTATTCACCTAAAAGGCGTTTAGAAATTGATTTCATAGCATAGATCTGATTAGTTCCCTTATGTTTGACAAGTTGAACTTTGCCATATGAGCCCTTACCAAGAACTTTGAGAATATCGAAGTCATCGACGCTTACATCACTTGCGGACTTACCACCGAGTACTTTGTTAAGCACACGAACCCATTCGTTCATTGCTTCATCTGATTCTACGAAAATTTGATATGTACGAACATTAGGTATGACAACTTTGAACGCATGTGGGTGAATGCACTCTGGCATTGGTGCTACTTCGGATACTTGAGACAAATTAATTATGCCATTAGGAGCTGAGGTCTTTGTTTTTGAATATGATAAGGATGTTTGTGTTAAAACAAACCAACGATATCTCCATGTCTTGAAAATAGCTCCTAATTTTGTTCCCCAGCCGCTGTGAATCACCTTGTTTTCGTCGGACATTTTGTAAATAAAAAATAAATTGATAAAATTATTTAGATTTAAGGGTGCACACGAGAGGATCATGTAAACTTCAGAATTTAGAACCTTATTTTTAGGCATTATCTTGGCTACCTATTTAGGCTCGAAAAGCAAAAAATATCAAAAAATACAACTTGAGTCCATTATGACCCTTTCATGGAGGTAGTTTTTCTCCGCTAGTATTTTCCCTTTGAATCTCTTTACAATTCGAAATCAAATTCAAAACTCAGTAGAAGAAAGGAAGAATCGACTTACTACGGTTGTAATACGAATAAATACATATATTTAATTATTTTTATTTACATAATAATTGTTTGAAGCTCATATTCCATCAAATTTTTAAATAAAAACATTAAAATGTTGAAAATGTTCATATATTTTAATAGGGTTTTGGCACTTTATTGAGGAATTACTACATACATAGTCGAACTGAACTTGATATTTTGAAATTTAAATTATTTATCAAAATTAAAATTTAACTTGAAATTTATAATTATTTAGTCATATTTTGCATAATTCTAAGTAGATTTTGTAAAAAATCAAGAAAGAAAATTTTAACGTGCTTTATTTTTTCTTTTTTATAATAATACATATTATTATATAATTAACATATTCATAATGTTTCACCCTTTCAAAAATATAATCCTCCTCCTCTCAAATAAACGTACATACGGGTGGCCTCTTTTTTCAAAAAATTAAAATTTGAAATTTTGGGCTCAAATATTAGAGATTTTTTCAACCTTCAACGATATATGTTGTCTATATCAGACCTCCTTTCTTTTTGATACTTAACATTTTTCCTAAATCTTAGCCGTTAAGAGTAGTAGATATGACGGGTTGTGTGACTTTTTTTGTAAACGTAAGAATTCATACAATATCGAGCGATTTTATATCATTTTTTTTAACATATGAAGTAAAAAATATATGATTCTTACGGTTTTTATTCTTACGTTTTTGAATAAATCAAGATTTAAAAAATTTTCAAAATTGTAAGGCATTTACACTCAGCCCAAACATAATGAAATAAACCATTAAAAAATTAACATTAATTTTAAAAGAAGCTATATATAGATGATGTCAGATATTCCGCGATTAATTAAACATTGTTTAAATCCTGAATGGGTTTAAAGACCTCATAAACGAGTAAAAAATAAACTTCTTACGAAAAATTAAACGCAAGACTATCAAAAGATAGAGTTGAAAGAGTAATGGTAATGATGAAGAAGAATTTGATGAGTTCAACATTGAACTTTAAGAAACTAATGATTATTTGAATTTATGAAATCAATTATTTGATTCATTCTTTCTTCAATCTCTTCTATTCTTTTTGTTAAATCATCAATTTTCATTAATGAGGTGATTCTTGATTGAGGAATAGATTTCAAACTAACCACCCCCTTTATTTTTGAAATTTTGAATCCATCAACTTTAAACATTTTATTCAATTTACATGTTGTCAATTCTTCAAATAATTTTTTATTATTAGCATAATAGTCATTAAATTCTTCAACAGATGAAAAAATTTTTATTTCAGTAATTGGTTTAACAACGTTTATTTTTTGTTGAACATTTTCACTTTCATTTATTTTTAAAATCGGTTTCATTTATCATTAAATAAAAATTAGAATATAAGTGATGAAATATATTTTTTTAATTAATATTAAATCAGAAATGGCGGCAGGATTCTTTAAAAAATTATGGGATGGAATTAAGAATGCTGCGGGTTGGGTTTATAAAAAGATTATTAAACCCGTTGCAAACTTTTTGGCACCAGTGGCGAAAACGGCAGGAACTATCATAGGTGGAGTATTAGGTACTAAAGCAGGTAATCCGGCGATGGGAGCACAAGCAGGTAACGCAATTGGTGGAATAGCTGAAGGAATACTTAATAAAATAGGAGGTAGATAGTGGAAAAATAAATTATTTTAAAATTATTTTTATCTTAGTATCGGTTGTAGTCTTTGATAAACTTTTTCTCCTTTATTTAAAACTTCTCTTATTGGGGTAGCTTTTGGTGTTATTGATTCAGCAACGTCACTAATTGCTTCTTTATTCTTAAATATCCAATTTGCTCCCTTCTTCAATGTTTCCCAAACTTTACTCGCTCCTCTTTTTACTTTATCCCACAGTTTCTTAAATATACCTGCAGCCATAGTTGATTATTTCATTAAAATTAAAAATTCATTTTCATCTTTTAATTTTGATTTTTTATTTATTAATAAATGACGACTAACTATTTGGTGCCAAACACTAAACCGATTAATGGAAATGTGTTTCATTCATTCGAAAAGATAAATGAAATATTCGCAAAGAATGACGGTAGAAGATATTATAGAGAACTTGAAAGTTCATGCTATGACTCTGATACTCCATATTTTGATGATAAACAAACTCATTTAAGAATTACAAACCCAGCTCATGATGTGAACCAATTAGGTGACACATATATTAAACGCAAAGTTAAAGCAACTCTAGTTTCAAATAAAGCTTTCACATGTGATGCCGCTTTTAAATGCATGCGTTTATTCGTTGGTTACAAATCATCAAATCAAAGCTTTAAACAATTAGAAGTAGAAACCGAAAGAGGTGATGCCGGTTATCTTCAGATGGATTGCGCCCGTGAATCTTTCGCATTTGCAACATATAAACCAAAATCAGAAAGGAAAGTTAAAAAGTTTGTTCATTCGTTATATAATAATGTTCAAAAATATGATAACTCAGTATGTGGTAAATATATTGACCCTTCAGAAGTTTTCAAGAAAGCAAATGAAGAAGTTGATGTCACTTTTGATATGATTATTCCGGTAAATGATTTGTTAGCATTTCAGGCGTTCGATGATTATCCTAAATCATTTGGTGATATCATTCTTAAATATTATGTTTTCAGGGATACTTTAGTATTTTGTCAGGTTGACCCGTTAAGAGTTGCTGATTTACAAAATTACGTTTATGAAAAGATAACTGATGAAAATTATGAAAAGATTATGAATCATGTTTATAAATATGATCGCAAATTCCAACAAATCAGACTTCCTGCCAAATTAATTACAAGCTTAGCCGCTACATCTGCTGAGGCAACAGTTGATGACGTTATTATTTCATGCACAAAGATGGAAGTTTTAGAGGATAAATGCATTACACCAGGATACGGTTTAATTGAAGAATCAGTTAAAGCAATACCACGTTTATTTAGTAAGGAAGATCCATTCATGATTCCAGCTCAACATATTGACGTTCGTTCACTAAATGGAGGTTGCATCACTCCTGAAGGTATTAGCTCAGATTTCTCATACGCTCTTCATAATGTTACAGATGTTGTGTTAACATTTCCGAAGAATGCAATGCAAAGAACGGTTTTAGAAAATCCAATGCTTCGAGGTCTTCAGGTCACTATAGATTCCAGAAACTTCCCCGATCAAGCGATGACCACAGTGGGCGACATATTCTTTACACGTATGCTTCAAGCTTCTGATTTAGATGGAGTGAATGAATGCACAGAAGAATACGAGGACTCATTAACTAGACCACTGAATGCAGATGATGGCACGCCATTAGCTAGAACATGGAAAGACCAAACTTCATTCTTATGCACTATTCCAGTTCAACGTGATGGAGCGGGTATATTCTTTGATGGATTAGAAACTTTCAACTCACAAGTTACAGTACAAGTGAAAGCTTATCCAATCATTCAGGGTGAAAATGACACTTACTGTTCAAAGGTGACAAATCCTCCTCAGGTTTGGTTTACTAGGACTACATATTGGACATGGACACCGGATGACGGTTTGAAATATCATCCAACAGGTACACCACCACAGTATAGAAGTTCATATGAAATATTGATGAATAGAAATGTTTAAAATTATAAATTTATTTTTGATTAAATGGATTTAAATTCATCCACCCTTATGAAGAATTAGCGGGAGTATATAATACATACATAGATGATATGATTAATGAAGCATTGAGTGATAATAAATGAAAAAATGCTCTATCTAAGGAAAAATTAATGAAAATTCCATATTCTGAATGTTACTTAAATTCAATCACTGCAGCAATTGGTAAACAAAATAAAGGTAAAACATTAACGATATTAAAACAAATTATCATTATTGCTAACACTTCCCCCCATTCACATGTGTTAATTTATATCAACCGTTCAGGTTCACCTTCAGATGATACATTTGAATCTTTAAAGCATTTAATCAAAATTCCAATTATTTATTTATCACAAGAAGAAGCAGAAGATTATTTAAAAAACTTTTTAATGTATAAAGAATTATATAATACAATCAAGAAGCAAGGATTAGAGGATAAAATTATTGATAAACAACGGGATGAATTATTTGAAACACTTTCTATTTCAAATTTTGATAGAGAATTTTTGCATTCACTCATTTTTCTAGATGATGCAGTGAAATCAAAACTAATAACAAATGAGAAATCATATTTTAATCAGTTATTAACTCAATGTCGACACATTCAGTGTTCATTCTTTATGGCTGTTCAATATTTCAAAGCATTAAGCACAAACATTAAATCAAATCTATCAACCCTTTTCATTTTCAGTGGGTTTAGTCGTCAACAGTTGAACGTTATGCTTTATCAAGTGAATTTACCAATGAGCATTAATGAACTTTACACACAATATCAGCAATTAGGTGAACATGGAAAAATAATAGTTGATTTAAATAAAGGAAGTGTTAAATTTGATTAACTTTTTATAATTAATTTTTATTTTTTATTTATAATTAAACATGACAGAAATGGCAAATCTTCTACAGGTTCCATTAAAACAAGGAACAAACAAAAAGGGTGCATATAATAGAACTATGAAAGTTCCTGATGGAATGAAAGAATTAGTTCATATTGTTGCTGGTCTTCAAAAAGATGTTAAACAAATGAGAAACGTTTTAACATTACCAGAAGCTCAAGCATATGCCAAACGTCAAGGTCCAAATTGGGAAGCACACGAAGCAGACATTACGGGTCCAAATGGAAAACCTGATGGTATAAATGAAGTTTTCGTTACTGATGGTCAAGGTAATATTAAAGTCATAAATGGTTACAAATTAACTATA